GGCCCCTTCCCCATTCCTCCAGGTCTAGCAAAAACACAACCACGGAGAGCGAGGCATGTGCCTACGCTCCCACGCAGGTCCCTGGCTTTTGGGAAGCCGGCACCACGCTGACCCCAGCTCACGGCAGCTGCTGTCAAAGCAGCAGTGTCCAAAGGCAGGTTTGGAGGGGCACGGTGCTCTCTGCACTCAGACCCTGCAGCCTTGTGAGGCAGCAGGACCCGGGCACGCTACCGGCTCAGCGTGACAGGCGCCAACAGACGCTTGCACCTTCCCTGCTCTTCCCAGCCAAGCATCCTCCACCGCGTGTGAAGGGCACGGCTGGTGCCTGAGCCCCAGAGCATCACCGAAAGGACCGGAGGGGGGATGCTGGACTGAACCCCTCCCTGCTCCTCTCCCTGTTGGGGAGAGCTCACTGGATGCTCGTCTGAGTCTTGGTGACCCCAGAAGCAAGACAGTTTTCATAGTTTCTTCCAGCCCAGAAAGTTTCCCAGCTGAAAGCTCCATGCTGTGCCAATGCCTCTCCCCCTCCCCAGGTCTCAGAAGAGCTCCTCATGGCAGCTAACTGGATGAGAGCCCAGGGGTCTGTTTTCAAACCTTCCATGCCTGGGAAAGGAAGGAGCAGAGACCTGAGCACCCAGGCCTGATGCCTGCCCAGCGTCAGTCCTCTTCACAACCGTCGGGCATGGGGGGCCCGAGGCTTTTCTTTCTGCTCCTGTCTCAGCTGATGTGCTACACGAGGGCTTGCAAAGCAGCGATGCTACTCCCTGATGCCGGCAGTGAGGCAGCGCGGAGCAGGACGGAGAGCAGCAGCAGCATGGAGACACAGACCCGAGGGCTTCTGCTGCCTCTGGGCTCGGGCAGGACTAATGGACTGGCCCCACCAGGTCCTTCCCAGTCCTGGATCTCACCCCCTGCCTCCCGGTGCTCTGTCTCAAAGCAGAGGGCATTCCTTCTGGGTCTCTCCCCTCACTGCCTGCTCCCACACAACTGCTCTTCTCCTGCAGAGGGGATTTGCCCTGGGAACGTCACCATTTAGGACAGACCTTGCTTCACTCAAAGCTTGTCCTGATACTGTTAGACAGTGGTGTGGATGTTGGACCATGCCCTTTTATCTGTCCCTCCTTCATCTGCCTGTTGATTCGTCCCCCTTGGCAACACACTGATCCTCTATCTGGTCTGAGATCCACAGATGTGTCTCTACTCATCCTCTCCTCCTGCTCAGCTGGGAGAGACAGGGCTGGAGATACTCTCCTCTCTCCTGCTCATCTCACCGCAGGAGAAAACCAGTTGTTGACACCTGCTTTGGAAGATGTTTGCTAAACCCATCACAAGCACTGATCATGGCTACAGCTGAACATGGCCATTCATCCACCCTAGCACCGTCCTTCCCCACGGCTTCCCATCACACACAGCCCTGAGCCCTGTGCCCCGTGCTGGAGCTGGATCCCCTGCTCATTGCACCTTTCCAGGGCACAGCTTTCCAGCTCCCTGCTAGTAGGAAAGCCAGTGCCCACCGAAAACCACCAACTGCCCAGGCAGCACTAGGCTGGGGGTGTCAGAGCCCCACTTAATTTAGGGTGCAGTATATGTTCTCGCTGCCTTCCGTTCCTGGAAGGCATGAAGTTATACTGGCTGCCTGCTTGCTCAAGAAGTGTGAAATTCTTTCTTTGACCTTTTCTGTTATGTTATTAAAAGGCTTCATGGCCAGTTGTTTCAGAAAAAAAAAAAAAATTTCAATATCTGTTGGTAGCTGGGGCAGAACTTGGTTATATCTTCAGGCTGAGCTCTCACATCCCTGCTTCGCTCCAGCCTCGCAGAAGGAGCATGTCACTGTATGGGACCTCTGAGACTCTCCAGCCTGTCTTTCCCCTGCAAGGCAGGGCCTGGGGCAGGGAAAAAGAGAAGTTTGCACGGGGAGAGGCCACCAACAACTGCAGAGGCCCGGACAGCCTGCTCACTCCTCTGTTGGGTTGCGACACACATGTAACTCCAAACTGCAGGGGTTTATGTTCCAGGGCAACATGGGACATTTGACTGGAGTAAGGATCCCTTCACGCCGGTCTCTGCAAAAACAAATACACAAGCCATCTCTGGCTTAAGGGGCTTATCACACGGGTAAAGAGCATGGAGGCAGTAGAGAAGGCTGCCTTTGGGCATACTGCAGGCTCCCTGCACACGGCAGGAGCCATTCCTGTGAAGCCTGGACTCTCCAGATGTTCTCGTGCAAGCAAATGACTACCCAAATCTATATGATAAATACCTTAAATGAACAGAATTAAACAGATGGATGGATGAATGTATGGACAGGGAGACAGAGGGAACACAAAGTAGAGAATACAGGGCAGAAAAACAAAATTTTAGAGGGTGGACAAGGCTGTGCCATGCCAGGGAAGTAACAGAGATTTGCCCAGGCAGCCACAGGGGCGCGTATCCGAGCCCACGCATCTCTGGGCAAAGGGAAAGAGGCAGAGAGCGGAAAGCAGGCAGTGGCTCTGGGTCCCTGCTGGCTGCCCGCACTTCGGGTTGTTTTACAGTTGATTTATACGTGTAACAGGCAATGTTTCTCTGCTGTCACTGACATTAGGAGCTGAAATGCTGCAGAGACGAATGGCCATTTGTCACCGCAAATGAAGTCTGCTTGCTCTTTTTTTTTTTTTTTTTTTTTTTTGCCTTGCCATTTTTGGCTGGCCAAGCAGAGGGCAGTGGGGAAAGGGAGGCAGCCAGGAGGGCGCCTGCTCGGCAGGGTAGGCTCAGTGCTCTTTCTGGGTCGTGAAGGAAACCCTTTCCTCTCGCCTACACCCACCTGGCCACGCACAGCCAAGGGGGCTAGCAGGGAAACGGCTTGCTGGAAGATGGGCAACCAGCCCAGGGTCTTCTGGGCTGCTGGGCATAACTTCTCCTCCTTCCCCAGGACATCGAGCTGGGCAGAATACCAGTGTTCTCCCATTGCCTCGGCCCCTGTGGTTTTAGCTGCTCGTCTCCCCGCTGGGAAGGAGCTGCAGGCACTGCTCTGCCCTGCCAGCTGGGCTCAACCATCACCAGCAACGGCTGGTGGGAAGCCATCCGTTGTCCTTCGGCGACTGCTCGCCCAGCCCACACGCTCCCCCGTTCATCTCGATCTCATAAACCTCTTGATTTGTCCTTAGCACCCTGGAAACCCATCGCCCCTCCAAACGCGTGGCACAAAACCCGCACTTGTTTGCACAAAGGGGCATTTTGCAGCACTGAGCAAGGAGGGAGCCAACAAAAGTCCCCTTCCACGAAGACGTCATTCAGTGGCCACCAAAGAAGCGGGCACTCCATGTGGCTGGCCAGACTTTCTTCAAAAAGCAACCTCTAACCCCTGTGGGGTAATACGCATAGAGAGCTCCCAGGCAAGCGGAGATGAAGGAAGAAAAGGTAGAATTTATTAGCAAGGAAAGCAGACTTTTTGTCTGTGGCACGTGGGACAGTTGGAGAGGCACGGCACAGACGGGCAGCGCCGTGGAAGCGAGCAGAGGGCAGCATCTCGAAAGGCGAGCGGCAGCAGCAGGAGGAGCTGGTACTTTATGAGTGTTGTTAAAAGTTTGGGATCAGCTGGGAGGGCAATCTGGATTTCAGCACTAATTACAACCATTCTGATTTATCATAGAAGATTCAACTCCTGGCATTTTGCGTTCCCTCCGAAATGCTGGCATAGCTGGAAGTTGGGGGAAGAGGAGACGCAGTAACAATCTCATTGTTTAGTGTCTGATGGCCTGACTAGCTAAACATCTGCTTGAAATATTAATAACTGTCAGATGGGAACAGCTCAGGGGCTCTATACAGTTTCACACCATCTGTTTGTAGAGTAAACACACTTACGCACAGGCGCATACACCCAACCCTTTTGTCAGGGCTTTTATTCTCTGGACCAGCACGTCTGTGAGGGTGGGCGACCAGCAGCTCTGTCCTGGGAGAGCAGAGGCAAGGGGGGGGCTGGGAGGGCAGCAAATTCATCTGCAACTAACGACAGCAGTCGTAATGCACCCAAAGTCTAGCAGGGGTTTTGATGCTCCCCTCTTTGATATTTCCTGTCCCAGAGGAGTTTTGCTTCCTATTTTGATTGTTTTCCAGCACAGGGTTTTGTTCTGGTTCTTGCTGTGTCCCACACTGGCACTGACATCAACTGATATCGCCCTTGCTCTCCAGGAGAGGTAGCTTCTTGCCAGGGATTTTGGGTGCTCCCACCACCCCACATGGGATGGATGGGCCCTATGGAAATGTCCCGCTACCGTCACCACCTCTGCTGCACCACCGTTCTGCTGCCAGCCATTTAATACCACGCTCTGCTGAATACAATCATTTCCCTCTTTTTCCACCTTTCACCCTCTTACTGGCTCAGCTGACCTCAGTTTAGTTGAAGAAGATGATGCTTCCAAACAGGGCTGTGAGAAAACCCACCCTGAAAGATAAATGTCAGGTGTTCACTCTCACTGATTAAGTGACCATGTCCAGTAAGTACCAGGGCATCTTTTCTCATAAGAAGTAAGGTAAGAGAGAGGCGGTGAATATGCGATGGGACACAAGCCATATACACAACTATCGTACTCGGTGGATCCCATGCAGTGAGGAGGAGGGAGAAGCAAAATCGTGACCTCTGGGATCAATACCTGCAGAAGAAGCTGCTGTCTGCAGATGAGAGCTTTCAGGGTAGGGTTCTCCTTGAGTTCCCGGTATGGTGGGAACCACACACACGTGTCTCCCAGAGACCAAGAAAGGTTAAGGTATCTGCTCCAAAAGCCCATAGGAGGGCTACACCCCACCCCACTGCTCCCTTACCACGTGCATCTCCCACTGCTCCCTTACCACGTGTATCTCCCACTGCTCCCTTACCACGTGCATCTCCCACTGCTCCCTTACCACGTGCATCTCCCACTGCTCCCTTACCACGTGCCCCAGCCCACCCCTCGGTGATGGGCACTGCAGAGCCACACGCGTGCCAAGGACTTGGCAAAGAGAGCCACGATGCTCCTACTCACATGGACCTGGAGGACAGTGGTCCCCACGGTGGTGTTCTCGAAGAGGCTTACGTTGTACAGGGCCTTGCTGAAAATGGGGCGGTTGTCGTTCTCGTTGATGAGGTTAATCTTCACGCGCGCAAAGCCAACGTGGTCTGGGACACTCTCGTTTGCAAAGAGCTGGGCAGAGACGGGAAACGAAGGGGAAGGTTGGAGACACTGTCTGGGAAGCTTGGGGGAGTGATCTGTTCTTCTTTAACAGAGGGAACAATGCTCTCCTGAGCTCCCTCACCAGATGAGCCAGATCAGTGCTAGCCACCAAAGCAGATATGCTCAAAAAAAATGAGAAAAGAGACCCTTTCTCTCTCCCCTGGGAGCTGCTCAGCTCTGGGTGACCTCAGCCCTTGGGCAAGCCAAACACCCTGCCCCACTTGCCCTCAGCAGCCTCAGCATCTTCTTGGGGAACCAGGACCAGCCACACCACCACAGCCTGGAGCAAGGGTAGGAAGAGTTTTACTCATCTTTCTCCACTAACGCATGAAAGCCTCTCTGCCAGGACCAACACTGCTAGTGTGGTATGAGCCTGCTTTGCCTTCCTTGAGAATTTACAGCTCATGCGGAGAGCAGGACAAAGCTGGAGCAGGAGCCTGGGGAGAGTTTTGCTGCCTGATAGGTGCACTTAAAACAAAGTTTTATGCTCTATAAAGCTTTTACAGCCTTGTGACATAGCAAGCGGGAATACGCTCTGCTTAAGCTCTTGCAGCTGAGCCTTTGGATTTTGAAAAGAGAGAGAAGGCACAGAGCAAATCTCTTCCCCACTTCTTCCTTTTTCTTTATTACTATTTCAGTTTTTTGGCCCTTTAGTAATGCTCTGGAGTTTCACAGTGTGGACTAGAGAGAGGAAGAGAGAAGCCTGATTAAAGGTCACTCTTAGGTCACTCTTAAAAATACAGATGTAAAGCACAGGGGTGCAGCCTTACCGAAAATTCGTAGCGAGGAATGGTCTCAAAGTCCAGCGGCACTGCCACGCGGATGCGGATGTCTGCCTTCCCCTGGACGGAGGTCGGTGAGATGATGAAGTGGTTGGAGTTGTTGCCCACCAAGTAAACCTCAAAAACACTGTTGGGTCCCTGGGAAAAGGAGAAAGGAAGGTTGACAGCGGCAAAGGAGGAAGGACCCGGTGCAGCCGTGGGGTAAGGCTGCAGGCGAGTGCAGGATGAAAGCACCGACCCGACTGCAAAGCCTGTGCATTGGGCACAAACGTGTCAGTGCCAGCAGCTTGGGCACAGCCCCTTGCCTTCAGACATGTAAAAATGCAATTACTGTAGATGCAGGGGAGTGTTTCTCTGCTTGGGTTTGGTTAACTGAGTCACAGGGTTAGGCACCGACCGTGAGCACCCTTTGCTGCGTTTTATTATGCTTACTGGGTGTACAACGCGTGTGATTTCTGTAAACCTTCTTTTCATATGCACTCATTTTATACAAAATCCATATGCACATGAAAAGGACGCGTCCTGGGGATGAACCTGCACAGCACACAACTGGAGGGAAAATCCGTTTTGCTGTTTCAAGATCCATGCACCGCACAGGCTATCGCACACCAGGATTTCATTGCCTTGTGCTGCAGGGCACAGCATGGCTGCCTCTCCCACGCAGAGGGCTCTTTCCAGTAAGACAGCTCAAACTGTGAACTGGAAAACTCCAACTCTCCCAAGACCTGGCTGGCAAAGCAGCAGGACCACCGACGTACTGACAGCAGCACTTTAGGACTCTCGCTCCAGGCACAGCACCCCTTCCCAAAGCACGGCCCAGCAGAGCACATGAAAATCAAGCTCAGAAGCTGCCAGAGACGAGTTTCCAATTTTCCCCGAATGACCTCCCTCCTATCAGAAAAAGGGACCAATTAAATGCACAAAGGGGCACTAATAGCAAAAGCTGGCTAAGCGTGACCGCCGAGAGCTGGCGACACGAGCAGAATCCCTGCTTGCCCTTCTCCCTGCACCCCCCCAGGAGCCCTCGATCTCCAGCGGAGCCACGCAGCAGCAGAGAGCCCCGAGGGCACCCAAAGAGCAGCACAAGCAAACCCTGAGGGCACCCACCACCCCAGGGGCCCAGCATCGCTCAGCTGGTGGACGATGGCCGGAGGAAAGAAAAGGGACCCATCTTGATGCAGTCTTAGCTCCTTCCAAAAGCTGTTTTGCTGGCAAACTGGGATGTGCCAAGCCCGGCACGAGTGAGGGATGCTCCCTGATGCTGATACAGAGCCTAGGAGGGAGGGAGCAGGGGATACAGAGGATGGCGGGAGGAAGCATCACTCCCCAAGCCGTCATTTTGTACCCTATACTTAAGATGCCAATTTATAACAAACAACCATTTTCCACCAGCAACAAAAAGCCATTTCATTGAGGAATTTCTGCCCAGCTCTGCTGCTGAGCCCTTGGTGCCTCTCCCAGGGCCTGGTGCCCTCCCTGTAGTACACAAAAGCACCTTTCGTGGCGGTGAGATGCGAGGGATTTTCTTGGAAGCCGGGGAGGAGTGAGTTTGTTGGAGGCATGAGATAAAAGTTGAAACATCAAAAGAAACCCAAGTATTTGTGGGAAGAGAGCTGGGTGGATTAATTCCCCTCCAGCTGGGGAAGGAGATCAGCCTCTAGATACCCACCATCCCTAATTAGCAGCCCCTTGAGTGCCTCAGTCTCCCCATTTGAGGTCTGGAGAAGGGGAATACATCTGCCTCTCGGGAGGGCTGCTGCGAGTTGCCATTTATATATTTATTCAGCTATTTAGTTTTTTGTTTCTGCCCCCATGCTGCTTTCCTTGCTCCTAGTTCCCGGAGCCTGCGAGCCCCCTGCGGATGGCTGAAAGCAAATCTGAATATTCAAATTGTTATCAGCTGCCCAGCAGAAGGGGCTGGCTCAGCCCGGCTCACAGCTAGTACCCCCCGCTTTGGAGGAAGCCACGGGGAGCTGCTTACATTTTCCTCACCCCTTCCCTACCTGCTCCTGCCACCCAGAGCAAACAACGGATCTGAAATGTGTTTGTGAAGAAGAAAAACAAGCACTGTCTCCTCGGGCTCGCAAAGGTCCTGGGGTGCAGTGGCGGGCCCATAGCCGAGCATCATCTCTTTGCAGTGCCGAGGATGAGGATGGGCTGCACAGGCGTACTATCGGTGCACAACCTGCTTTACCTGCTCGTTTCCCTGCTTCAACCCCTTACCTACCAGCTCCCGCGCCGCTCGAGGTTTTTTTCCCCATCGCTGAAAACAAATTGGCTCCTTTGCCTTCCTTTAGAGGCATAAATTAACGAGCAGCCTGCCAAAGCTTAGCAACCCCACAATAATAAACCCGTCTGCACGCACCCTCCATCCAAAACAAATGGAGCCATAAACAGGCTTCGGAGGGAAGTTTGCTATTGCACAAAGCCGGGACATGGCCGCACGTTTCCCAGCTCATCTCCTCCTGTGCCAGTGCGCGGGGCCAGCGCTCGCTGTGGCTCGAGGCTGCTGCCCGCTGCCTCCTTCCCGGCAATCGAACCTCCTCCCAGCCGTAGCCGGCGCCGCAACGGATGGAAATTTCATGTCAATTCAGCTAAAAGACAATCGTAGCTGCAGTTGGGCATAATTATTACTTTGTTCTTCGCGTGTGTATTACTTGGAGCGTGTAATAGGAGCCGCGTCGTGTCCCTGCTGCCACGATGCCAGCATCAACCTCATGCCGATACCCAACTTCCAAAAAAGTGACCGCTGACTGATCCACCCCCAATGCTTCACACTCGAACAATTTGTGACGGACCTGTTTGCCAGCCCCACGTGCCCAACGGCCTTCTTAAATTCCAGGGGGCTGGAGCAGAGGGGAGACCGTCCCTCGGCACAGTCAGCACAGCCTGGACTGGCAGGCAAGGGCAGAAGCTCAGGCGTGAGGCTGTGAGATGCCAGGAGGTGGGTACGTGTGTCCCCTCCAGAGGTCCCAGGCGCCATGTGGGACCTGCTCACGCACCTGCTATGAATCACGGCCAAAAGTCTGCTCTCCCAACCCACAAGACGTGCTCACAGGGCATGGTTCAGCAGGGAAGCCCTTCTCACATCAGGAGGCCAGGAGCAGCCACATCAGCTGTTCCAGCTTTGACTGAGGATGGATCGAAAGCTTTATCCCTGCTTTTCCATGTAATATTGCCCACTGGCTTCATCCATCACTCCCACTCCCACCCAGCCCCTTCCTCATGGGAGTGCACACGGAAACGCTTCAGAAATTATTCAACCCCCCCACCAGTCAAAGCAAGTATTTAGCATCACTTACCAAGGGCTACACAAAAACCCAAAGTAAAAAAAACCCAAAGTAAAAAAAAAAAAACCCAAACAAAAAAAACAGGACCAAACACCTAGAGAAGCAAACAACCCTTTTTCAACCACGCTCCCTGCAATCACCGAGGTACACAGGTAGGTTGGTGGCTTGGCCTGCAATCATTTTCAGCACAAAGTGAGGTAGATTTGGGAAAAACAGCCTGGGATCCTCAGTCTTCTTCTCTTCATGCTGCCTCAGTGCAGGGCTGCCTTTGGTTCCCTCTACTCTAGCTCAGCTGCAGCTCACTTTTCCAAAATGGAGAGCCCTGCCTTTCTGAAGCACAAAATCCAGTGTAACTCCAGCTTTCCTCCCAGCCACTTTCTAGGCACAGGTTATTACCTACAAAAAACTAAGGAGTGTTTGATATCCCTCATTCTGGCAAGTTTGCAAAGAAAGGAAAGCGCTAAGAGTTCAGGAGTGGTGGAGGAAGAAGGGAAAAAAAGGAGGTGTGGGTTTTTTGTTTTGTTTTTTTTTTTTTTTTTTTTTTTTTTTAAGAAAGCAATTAGTGCCTCTTTCTACAGCTTGGATACTTTATGCTTGGTTCTAGCTAGTCAGAGACAAATAATGCGTAATCCTTCCTTTGAAAACACAAAGCATAAAGAGGGTTATTCTCTCCACCCACTTCAAGGCATTTAACTTGAGTGCTCTGAATAGCCTCTCCAGAGTTGCCTGCCTCTCCCACACTGTCCATCCCGCCAGCTCGGGCTCCCAGTGCCCATTGCTTGCCTGGCACCCACTGCCCACCACCAGGCACCCCAGCACGACAGCATCAATAACCCTTCTGAGGGCTCGCTGGGCATGGGTGCTTGGCCCCTGCATCCTTAAGGACCTCACTGGTGTCACGAGTGATGCAGGATGCCTGGAGCAACATGTTCCCCAGCTTTTTGGACCCTCCTCCCCACGCTGGTAGCCCTTTTCTCCCATCTTTCTGTCCGTCCTAAGTGTCAGTCCTTGCCCGCGTCCCCCCTCCTGGAGGAGTTTTCTCCTTCCCCGCTCTCCCCAGGTTATCTGCTGAATTCCACACACGCCTGCACAGACGGGATCAATCCGAGGCTGCCTCGCCTTCAGCTTATCTCTGCTCCAAATGATTGATTTTCCCTCTTTAAGGGTAATTTGCTGGTGAATTCCATGTATTGCAAAAACCCCTGTGAAATCTAATTCAGCCCGACTGGCAGCTGGCACTTTTGGGAGAGAATACTCGAGCGCCGTCAATTCCCCTCACAGTTCCTTGCTGTGTAGATCATATTTATAGTGCGCGTGTCTGTCATATGCATATATATGCTATGGATGATTCATATATTGCACCTGCACACGCATGGGCACATACGATGTCCCTATGCGAGTCTCTGATGTAGCTTTATGCAACAAATACCGTGTATTCCCATGGCCTAGATTTTCTTCTTTTAAATTCCCCATTTATCTTCCTCAATATGCTTATTTTGGAGAATTGTTTCAAAATTATTTTAAAATGTCAGACCATCAAGCTCGTGCTTTATACAGCCTCTGCCCTTTTCTTCCTCTTCAGTCAACCGCGTCAAGGAAAATCAAGTATAAGCCACGGTAGAAGAGCTGGTTTCTCTGGCGTGCCCTGGGAAAGTACGCTGCCATTTCTTTTAATATACCTCTGTGGATCTTGCAGCAATAGGAAGCTCAAATGAGGGATGCCCTGAAGGATGCCCGGCTCCTTCTCCTGCATGGCCAAACCCTTGCCTTCTCCCTAAAATACTGCATCAAGTCACCAGGCTGTAAACCACCAACATATCCAGAAAGGATATCCACGTGCCCCCACCTCAGCCAGCCCTGGAGCAGATGAGCCTGAGCTAACCAGGCCTCCAAATTAATGTGAACTTATTCCATAGCTCAAGGATCTTGCTCTCAACCTGGAAGCAAACCTTGCTGCAAAAGTGGATAACTCAAGGCTCTGATCTTCCGTCTCATACACAGGAGTTATTTGTCCCTGCTGATTTATTGTGACATGAAGGAGCAGAGAATCCAACCCCAGCTGGGGAGTGTATATACATACCGGCCTCCTGTGGTGTCCATTTGAGTATAAGCTCGGTCTAAATACTGGGAAACTTTCACAGATTTTCATAAACAGCCCTCAAATAGCTTTGGAAAGGTATTCAGATGGTTTGCATTCTATCTGGCAGAGAGGGAAACTCAGCTGCACAGAGGTTATACTTTTTTCTTGGTTCATAGGAGGCCGGGTCCAAAACCCTGTGCAAACACCTGATTTCTCCTGCATTCAAGTGTTTGTGATAAGCCATAGAGAATGCAAAAAGAAAAGCCAGCCCACCCGGTTGAACACCGTTTGCCTGCACCCCAAATTCACGCCTGGGGTGTTCTCAGCTCAACTAGGGCGCATCCTCTTGAGATGCTCCTCGTCCCACCTCTCATCCCAAGCCAGCTCCTCCCGCAGCAAGACCACGACCACGTTTGAGAGACAGCAGCTGGGAGTTTGCAAGGGAAAGACTCAGAGGAACAGGTTTCTCCTTGGAGGCACCCTGCTTGGGTACCTCATCTGAGGTGTTAATGCCAGCCGAGCTCCAGAAAAGCACTTAAACACAGTGGTAAATTCAAGCGCATGCTTTCAAGCGCAGTCTTGTGTGCAACGTAAATACATTTTTAAGTGCTTTGCTGAATCGTTTAATCTAACTCCTTCAAAAAGCAATCATTTAAGTTTGTGCAAAACACACCAGAAGAAAGACCAAACCCTCACCATTTAAAAAGGCCGCGTGGGCCTGGCTACAAAACACCTACTTGTTTAACGGCCTTGGCAGCCCACGTAGTGTGTTTTAAGGGCCAGACCCATGCAACACCCATTTCCCCAGCTCCACAAAGAAACAACTGGGGTATGATGGAAGGCAGGTTACCCAAAGTCACCCAACTCTTGCTTGGGGCAAGGTTCAGGAGTGGGCTGCTCCGTCTGAGAAGGACCTCAACAAGTGTGAGGGCTGAAGGAACAGCATCCAAACTCGCTGCTGGAGGGCTTGGCTCAAGAAAGAAACCAATCTGCCAAGAGACTCTCCTAGGACTTAACAACATCGACTGGGAGGCAGGAGACAAAACTCAAGCAAAACGATCTTCCCAAAGACTCTAGCTTTGATTTCATGTGTCTCTATCCATCTGCTCTCATTTATTTATTTAGCTGCCATCCCCAGAGACGTGTATAATTCTCTTCTTGTTTTCCTTTGCCCTTTACACAAATGAATCGTGTCATCTCCAGCATGAAGGCTGTGTTGGCAAAATAGCTTCTGTCAGCCACATCCTCAGTCACATCCTTGCCTGTAGACCTCCATCTTCACCATCCCATTCCTCCATCCCTGCACCCACAGAGCTGAGAGCCTGGCACCATCTTGGCTACCTCAAATCCAGATGGTTTGTAAAAGCCTCACAATTCTCGTGAGGTATTTGAGCATCCAAAATACCACTGCCAGGCAACTATCTTCCCTTTATGTAAGTTTTTTGCTGAAAGTTTGGGGGTCTTGGGACATCTATAAATACACTGCCCGGGAACCAGTGCTAGAACAAGCCTGGCTGCAGATGCAGTTTCACTTCTATCTCACATACAACTTTTTCATGACCTGGGTATCCTCTCCCCATTTTTTTTTTCCTCTAAAGTGCTACCTTGATGGTTAATCCAGTTTCAAGCATCCACGAGAGGAAATAAGAAAGATCCACTGTAAGATAATGCAGAAAGAAAGATCCCAATTGCTTAGAACTTTCCTCCCTCCAGAAATTCCAAGGCATCAGCACTCCTGTACTTCTTATCAGTGAAAATAATGCTATGGTAAAAGCAACCCGTGCTAATATGACAGTCTCCGAAGACACGTACAGTAAAACTCCTTTGGACTCCCCTAGCGCAAGAGGTCTTCTCTCAGCAGTTTTAAAAATCTCAACCAATTCTTTTGGGGAAATCTCGGAAAGTTAAAGAAATACATCAAAAGAATGAGTCTATTTTTTGCTGGCGCGATCGGGAAGGCAAGGCTATTTTTTATTCTCCCATTTTAAAATTAGCAAGGCTGAAAAGTGAATTCCTGAATGGGAGTCACTCCAGTAAAATGAGCTTTTAACCAGAAATAATGACAGATCCTTCATCCTTCTGGCACAAACAGAAGTGTTACAATGCCCTTCAAGAACGGATCTGCTGACATCTCTCAGAAAGCACGACAGTGGCTTTATTCAGAAACTATCCTAAGCATCTGTCATACCCATATCTTCTTTATTAGCAATTGACATTTTCAAGAAAAAACAGTCTCTTTATCTGCTTAATAGCTCATCTGCACCTCTTCAGGCTGAACTCATAACTCTCAGATGGTGATATCACGTCACAAGTAGACTATTAGTTCTGTGTCATAATCACTTCACATGAAAAAAAATGGGATTTCTGGGTGGCTTTACGAGACGTGGTGAACTCCACCCAGGGCTGGGGAAAAGCAAATCCATCATTTCAGCCAGCAGAGGCATCTCAGAAGATGCACATTTTAACTGACCCACCAGGATTTTGGGGGGACAGGGGGAGATGTTCCATTTTGTATTCCTCGGTGCTATCGCATCATTTACCCGAAGCATCAGGAAAACGTGCTGGTGATGCTGTTTATTCTGACAAACCCTCTCCCCTCAACCCTCGCTCAGCCTGAAGAGGAATAGGGATGGCAGGACCCTGTAGCCAGAGCCTTTCTGAGGGATTTCAGAAAGTTCACCATGAGGTGTCAGCACTTGTTTGAAGCAGACACCACGCAGCGTGTGGGGTTGGAGGGTACCGGCACACAGAAGCAGCCAGACGTGAACCTCACAAGTCAAATAATCAGAGTAATTGAAGGCTGCGAGCTCAAGGCTGGAAAACATGCTGCAATCCCTACGTGGCACGGACCGGTGCGTAACAAATAGGAGCTCCATTAACATGAGGGAAGAACAAGCCTCCAACGCTCCCGGCTCGTTTGCAGTGATGAACCGGTATCCCAGTCCCGGCCATGCTCACGCTTCCTCCAGCCCCGTGCTGGCAGGTATCTCTTACCTCCTCCCTGATAGCAGCAGTACCTGTCCCCACTGGGGCAGAGAGCCCAGAGGTCCTTTCTTTCCCCCGCCCCACCGCAAGTCCTCTGAGATTCCAGCAGAAAACCTCCTCCCTTTCTAAAACAGACTGGCAAAGGACTGCCTGACAAGAGCCCCTGGAAGCGGGCAGGAATCAGCACCCCACACTATCCTATTTTCTGGGTCTCTGTGGCTGTGCAATCCTGCTTGCACTAAAGCACATGCCGTGCCTGGTGCTTTGGGGTGGGCATCTGCACTCAGGGTACCAAGCAGGCAGAGCAATGACGACAGTAAGAGCTGAAAAAATGGGTATCAGGACATAACCATGCATCTCACTGCAGGTTCAGCAGTGACCTATCCTTCCCTGCACCCCCCAAACCCACACCAGTGCTACCCTACAAACAGAAGCGCCCGTGGCAGGGGATACCTCACCTCATCTTTGTCCTGCACATGGATGAAGAGGGGCAGGGCAAAGCCCACCTGGGCCAGCTCTGGGATGGCCACACTGTACTCCGAGCTGTTGAACTCGGGTGCGTTGTCATTGATGTCAATGACTAGGATGTTGAAGGTGGTGGTGACAGTGGCGTCGGAGGGTGTGCGGTCATCGTTCAGCTCTGTTGCCTGCAAGGAGAGAAAGCAGCAGGGCAGCCTTTATTTTTCAAAGAATAAACCTAAAAGAAAGTGTTTGTGCTGCGATCAGGCTCCTGCAGCTTTTGCTTCCTCCACTTTGCCAAGGAAGGATGCTCATTTGGCTCTCCCATTGCCCCTTAACCTCAAGAATCTTTCTACATGGCTGACCCATTAACACACACAGATGTTGACCCAGCTCTTCCATCACCCATGCTCCAGACCCACAGCACTCTTGCAAACCTTCCCAGGGGTTTAACATTTCCCTTGGGATACCTGTGGACAAGTTCTCACTTGCCCCTGCCATGCAACAGGTTGTCAGGACTTGGAGTCATGCTAGGGGATGAGTAGGCGATTTTTTCCACCACAAGCATTTACACCAAAAAAAAATGCCCTGAGAGATGTGGGGGACAGTTCTCAAAATAAGGAAAGCTGCAATGGAGCAAAAAGCACTCCTATTTTCTCCTCTGCTGTCTCCTGAGGTGGGACCAGGATCAGGGAGCTAGCCATCGTAGTACTTTTGAAGGGAGAGAAAACTAGGGCAACAGAGGAAAACAAGATTTAGACCTTAAAATAGGTTTGGCAACATGTGTCTACAGTGCTGAGTCATGACTCCATATCACACCTCTGTCTCAAGAAGGACTTTAATTTTGCTTTCCCAAAATGAAAGAGTGCAGATTTTATTGCCAGAGTAGCCAGACTTGTGAAACAGCCTTTTCAAGCAAAGTCCCTCCTCTCGTCCTTTGGAAATCTTGCTTTGCTGTGGGCACAGAAAAGCAACGCTAACACGACCCACACGGCTCATTGCTATTCACCACTTCTGCACACAACAGCAGAACAGGCTGATCCGAACAGGGAGCAATCCAGCTGTATTTTCACTGTGTGCTCCAGGACGAGAGCAGAAGAGAACATTCTGGGTCCCGGGGATGCGGGACACAGAGAGTTGGCATTTGCGGGAGGATGGAAAGTTTGTGGAGAGAGGAAATAAAAATCTATCGGATCAACAGAATATAGTTGGAACTCCATTATCATGCAGGCAGGAAAACGGGCAAGTTTTCAGGTTCACAAACCTTTCCAAGATTGAACAGATATTTTTGTCCCTAGTAAAACCAGACAATCCTCCCTCTCTTGATTTCTACTGAATTTAAACTATAAAAGCCCAAACAAAGAGATACCAGGGAGGGATGCGGATCTCTTCCCCATGCATAAAGCCCCCCAGTACGACCTCTGCCTGGGACTGAGGCGGGTAATTTCTTGTCCCTTTCCCCCCCTGAAAAACCATTACACTTGCCAAAACAAGGAGGGCTGCTGCCCTCTCGATCAATGACCCTTCCTACAATGCTGATTTTTCCCCACCCCAACCCAACAGAATCTATACTTCTAAATGCGTTTCCAACCAGCTGCCCAGCTTGGTATTGATTTTAATTATAGGGTTGCGAGCAGAGCTGGGGAGCCGCTCTCAGGTGGGGCTGCTGGGGCTGGAAAACCACGCTCCAGTGCCTTTTCTTGAGGAGGCAACTTTCAGCATCACTCCCCCTCCCTGTGCCTGCTCCGGGCAGATGCAGATGATGCCCTGTTACACTGCTGGCCGCTGACATGACAAAACGTTGCTGTTTTTCCAGGGTTTTGGGGGCGGAAAGGTGGGAAGTAGGCACAGTTCAGGTGCCTGAATGTAGGTGTCTTGTGCTATTTGCAATCCCAAGACATCTGCATGCTGCCAGCAGATACAACAACAGGCAGATCTAGTTGGAGACCAGGCAGGGCACCAAAAATGACCTTATACATCCATATAGAGGCAACCACATTTTGGGCCACCATATGAGGGGGCTCTGGATGCTCACAGGAGCTATATGCTCCAGGTTTGTGCCTCCACCTTGAAGGAGTTGTGCCCAAGCAGGATGGTCTCCTGCTCTGCCAATGTGCCTCTGGGATGGAGGAGGTCTCACCTTCACCGTGAGGATGAATCCAGAGCTATACAAGGGGTTTTCCCTGTCCAGTGGCCCATTCAGGGTTAAGGCTCCACTGATGTAGTCCAGTGCAAAGATGCTGTTGGTGTTACCTGAGAAAAATAAAAAGCAGCGTGAGCATAAGCAGCCGGTACAGCCGATGCCAAATGGTACCAGGGGTAACGCAGAGAGGGAAGTGGGAGGACACAAGCCTCTTCCTCTGCCAGTCTCCACGCATGACCGGTCCCAGTGCTTGAGAGAGGTTTTACAGAGCAGGCCCACTGCCAGACTGGGAGCTCCAAGCTGGGCACAGGCAGCAGTGGGCTCTGCGAACCCTGCACATTATCTCAATGTGCTTTAAAATGTAACGGCTGTAATGGTCCCCTCCTCCTCTCACCTGCCCCAGCTCAGGGGCTTAAAATAGTGCTTTCCTTCCAATAGCCAATAAAGTTGTGAATGCTGCAGGCAGCTGACGAATTTCAAAGGGTTTTGGTTATTAAAATATGCAACAGCACAGCTGAAACCAGGGTCAAATCCAGGTGCTCCGCTCTGAACAATCGCCTGCATTCACAGGGCAGTGTCCCTGGGGTGGGCATGGCCTCTCTCTTAAAATACAAGAGCTTAAGGGACATCAGTCCAGGTTAATCAGAGGAAGGCGCAGATGGACCAAGCTCACAAGTAATTCTACATATAACAAGAGGTAGTTTAACTGTGGGGCATCTTGCCAGAGGATGCTGAGGATGATAAAAGTCCACATGTATTCAAGGAGAGACTGGGAAGGGTAATGAAAGAAAAAAATTCTATCAAATAACAAGCCACATACAGCTCAGGAATTTTCTTAGCTTGACATACTTGGAGCCCAGGAGAGTATTAGAGTAAGTACTATAGGCACTTGCCCTGCCTTTATGCTCTTGCCAGATGTGTTGACGTCATGCAGCTGCCTTGTTTTCCTCTCCTTGAGCCAAATTTGGCCTCTGTGCCAGTCCTTACGTGCAAGCAAGGACACGGGGTGCCATGGAGGGCTGTGCTGCCTCCTCCGAGCATCCTATCCTTGGCTTGACTCCTCCTCTGCAATTAGACACCCGGAGAGGATTAAGACAACACTTGAGTCTCGCAGCCAACAGATGCTAAAAAGACAAACGTCCGGCACTGGGAATGCCCTTGCGACAGTCCCAGGTGCTCTCTCTGTCAGCCAGACAAAAGAAAGCAGTTGGTGTGTGGAGCCTGGGATACTTGACACCAGCCCAACACAATTCCAGAGGAGCCTGCTGAATTAGTGATGGCCAAGGAGGTGAAAGATGGGCATATGGCCACCCACACCACTCCCCTCATTGTCTCACAGTATGCAGAAACCCCTGATCCAGCCTCAAACGGGAGTGAGGAAACCCTGCAAGTATGCTGTATTAATCCCAGTCAAAAACAATAAAAAAACTCAACCCTGTCTTCTCAATATATCTCAGCGTGAACGAAACACACACACCATTTGTCATTTCCCTGAAAAGGAGCTGCAAGACAGATATGCCGCTGCAGAAAGTTGTTTCCCATCACTCAGCATCCACTTTGCTCCCTTCCAATCTCCCGTTTAACCACGGCTGCACTTTTCCCGGGATGGTCAAACCTCCAGGTCTGGCTCTCCCCTCCCGCCCAGCCCCAGGAGCCACCCCAGCCTTCACGAGCCACTGGCTGCCAGAATCTCCTCTCTTTCCCAGGGCCCTAAATGCTGTAACACCTTTCTCTCCCATTACCAAGCCTTTATATCTTCCTCTCGGACCGAATGCCTCCCATTTCTGTCCTTGGTCCTCTCTTTTCTCCATCCGAAATGGCCCATTGACTGCTAGCCAGATTAATGAACTGATACGCGGCTACTTAAAATATTAGCAACAGCCTTGCTTTTTTTTTTTAATCTAACTTTCGCTGCTGTACATGAAGATCTCTAGTGTCCTCCCTCAGATAATTCCCCCCTTTTCATTTTGACTTCCCACCTTTGCTCTGTAATTTACGGCTGACTCTTTAGGAGACGTTTTCTGATACCAGCTTTGAAGGACACGCCACGAGATGTATTGAATTGTGCTGCAAGGCGTTTAAATGTTCCAGGATGCCATGTTGCCATGGTAAAGTTTATGCATCAGGGCAATCTTGATACACTCCCCCTAATATAAAGTGTAATAAAATACCTTTTTAATCACAAAATACTGTTCTGCTAACACAAACCTGTAAATGCGGACACCAATGGATTTTAGTGGAAATAGGTCAATAGGGCAGGAATTTGACACAAAGGACTGAACACAGCACTGAGCTCTGTGTCCTAACAATGGTTGTGTTTCATATTTGACCACAGTCATTTTTTTTGAAGAATGGATGAATAAATTAGGGACCCAAATACCCTCCCAGGCCACACATCAGAGGCTTTTCTCCAGCTCAGCCTCCCCAACACCGTTCAGATGGCAGATACGTATCTGATGACCTCCGGGGCGCCTTTCTGCTAGCAAAGAATTGCCGGCTTTGCAAATTAGCCTCAGAAGGGAAAGAGGTGTCTCCAAACTTGTCCCTCAGAGGCCTTTCATAATTTCCTCTACAATGTCTCTCCAACCACCGCTTCATTATTCCTCTGACCAGTGATCCCCGCTGAAGTACCCGCACTGCTGAACAATGCACATTCCCCCGAGACGCTTTCTTTGCAAAAATCTCTCTAATCATCTTCACATGTCTTCGCCTTCCTCAGAGGAAGGGGAAAAAAAAAAAAAAAAATGTGGGGGAAAAATAGCCAATTTTGTCTTTCCCTCCCCCCAGTCTCTCACTCTCTCCCCACCTCTGTATAATTTCTCCTCCCCTCCCGGTGCTCCCATTACCTCTCCATCATCTTCCTGATCTAGGACCTAGGAAAAAAACAAGACTGGGTTAAGCACAGCTTAGTCCACGGCTGCCAGTGCAGATGGCCACACCGGCCGATGGCTTTCAACCCGTTAGTCCACTCCGCCACTCTCCCAGTTCTTGCTCTGTCCTGCTCCCGGTTGGACTGGTCGCAAGCTCCCGGCCAGCCACCTGCAGCCGTCCGTGCCCGTGGTGGCCTCGGAGGCAGATGGATGGCCATGAGCCAAGCCGGCCCCTCACCGCGCTGCCCCAAGGCTTTGGCCGATGGTTTGCGTGGCCAGTGGCCAGCGGTGCCTGCCGGCCACGTCGACAGAGCAAAACACGGTTTGCTATCACTGGTTTTCAAGCGATACCGTGATGCACAGGGGTGTGATGGAGAACACTGAGGGGATGGAGAACCTTTACAGGGATTTCAAACCCAGCAGAGAACCCCAGATAATCCTGTTTCTCGGAGGACGCGGAACGGCGCACAGACCTTTCCACCTCCAAGTTTGCACTGTGCAAACTGTTTTGATGACGCAGACTGGAACTGTTGTGGCCGCACTTGACAGGGAAGCCAAGTGACCTTCATCCCTGCTTCCCTCCTTCCTCCGACTTGGATCAGGAGTCACCAGCTGCTGGACGTGTCTCTGCTTGAGCCACTGACTGCCTAGCCTGAAATCTGGTCTGAACCACCAGAGCATTTCTAGATGGAGATCAAAGACTTCATTTCCATGCCTCTGGTTTGAGAAGGGGGCCGAAGACCGTGGTCTGGTTTCTGCTCAAGAGGCTTATATGTCCTTCACCTCCTTCCTCATTGCACGGAACAGGCAAAGCTAAGGAATAAATGGGTCTTTCATCAGCAAAGGAGGAGCTCTGCTTTCATGTGCTGGGAAAACAAAGACAGCCTTAAGAAAAGCAGGGCAGGGAGCAGAAAATACATGTGAGGCTGCCTAGGAGGTAGCATCCACTGGAGAAGCACCCTGTGGGAAGGCAGGCTCCACTTCTTTCTCTGTTATCGCTGCAAACCTACGGAGCTGGACACAGCGCAAGGCAGGGGACAGAAGGAGAGACCGGGAGAGAGACCCAGGGTAGGAATCAGATGGGGCAGAAATTAAATGATGGGAAGGGAAAGGCTGAGCAGCAAAACAGAGTGCAGAGAGAAGAAAATCTTAGCAGACAATGTTTTTAAAGACCCGAAAAGAGAGAGGAAAGATGAGAACAAAAAAAGAAAAAAAAAAAACAAAACAAAACAAAACAACAAATTTGGGACAGCAATATGAATGCATTTCTGGCTGACCCATTGCTCTCACCTGGCAAGGAACAGGCTTGCTCAAGGCATACAAGCCCAGGTTCTTGTTTTGACGTGCGTAAAAGGAGAAGGAAAACTTTCCCATCCCTCTGTCCGTGTGTGGGTCAGGGACAGGAGCAGCTCCTACATCCACCGTGGCCAGGGCAGGGAGCGGGAAGGCAGGGACCAACGTGGTGCTGGGTTGGGAGCAACGGGATGGATCGCAGTAGCCCATTTGGAGTGTTTTTCCAGGCTCATTGAGGAACGGATGGTGGCATAGGCATCATTTTGGAGAAACACTGCTATAACGAGGGGTTTTATAGATGAGGGCCATAATGTTTAATTGCCCTCAGCCAACGCTCTCACAGTTTAAAAAGGCCATTAAAAGTACTGGCTCAAACCCAGGGAAAAAAAAAAAAAAAAAAAAGAAAAGAAAAAAAGATACTGATGTCCCCTCCTTCCACCCTACTCCTCTGGCCTTTGAGCATCATTCAAATCTCTAGGAGAGAAGCAGCTATTGCCTGTCAGCCAGGGGAAGCTGATTCTCTCGTGCTGGAGAATTTTCCCACCCCCCTCTACACGAAGGGCCATTTGTGTTGGGGAGCTGCTTCCTCGAAAGGCACCAGGCTTGCTGAGCCGCTGAACTTGGAGCGGATGACTTTCATGAGATGTGAAAGGGGAACCCATCACACACCTTGAGCCGGATAATTTATTAATCAAAATGTGCTCCGTCAGGGCTCCTCGGCACCGAAATAGATGCTGTTGGATGTGGTTCATAGAGTCAGCAACAGACACAGTTATCATCGTATAAATAGTCCCTCAGCTGCTGTGACCACCTCGCTGCTCTTCACCTTGAGTTTTTGCCCCTGTGCTATATGCAGGGAAGCACACCAGGGCAGATACCTTGCTCCATGCTTAAATTTAAAGAGAACAAGTGATTGCCAAAACAAAAGGGGTTATTACAATCTGAGC